ATAAGGGCAGGTAGCCATATTAAATTTACAACCTTTCTTCGATTTTCCAGGCTATCAAGGTCGCACGTGATGTTCGCGTTTTCAATCAGGCGGATGGCTCTTTTCTGGATGGAATCTAGCAACATCAGGATATGTTTGGGAGCAGTGCCAAATAATTGAGAACAATACTCCAAAGAAGGTCTGATCTGAGCTTTACAAATCATCAAAAGTTAGTGAGGTGTGTACAGTTTTCTGGTTCAGAACAGTGTTCCAAGTTTTTGAGAAGCAGCCTTTTCAATTCCAACGACATGATTGTGCCAAGACATATTGGAGTACATTTCAACTCCCAACAAAATTATTAAAGCTGAAAGCAGAATTGTCTGACCTGACATTATTATATCTGGTTCAGAGACATTTATCTTCTTGGAGAAAACCGATGCCTGGATTTTTGTGGCTTCGAATTGAACTTGATTACTTTCACTCCAATTCGAAATCACTTCTAGATTCCCATTAAGATATGCAACCTCCTGCTGCCGGTGGAGATGTGCCTCTGTAGCCGCAGTCCTGGATTCCACAAAAATGATCCGACAAGCCATAGCATCGAAGTTTGGCCAGCGAATTCTCATGCCACATTTGCGTTCATTTCGCACTTTTTAAGTACGATGACGGGCACTTCAACAGGGCCATCAGACGCTGTCGAAAATTAATTTCCGGCTTTGTGGATTCTAGTGAGTGTTGCCTTTACCAGAAAATCTACTGTGGAATGGGACGCAAATTGTTCAGCTAGTAGATTTGCTTTTTCTATGGCTGCTATTGCAATTGAACCATCTGCTTGTATTAGTGTTGGAGTTGTGGATTTTGTAAAGTTCTGATCAACCGCTTAAGCTGCCGACCAGAAGGATCTAGACCTGTTGGGATTGGGATTGGGATTTATTCTCTGATTGTTATTTGTTTTCATTTATCCTAAGTTTGCAGCTGTTGCGAGCATTAACAAACCTAGTTCGGTTTTCGGTACTGGGATTTTTGCGTCACTGCCGGTAGGCAAGATTTTTGAAGGCGACAGCTTGCTGGCATTTTTTGTTGAACCAAGGTTTGCCGTTAGGAGGTCGTTTCATTGAAAAAGGAATATATGCATCCATGGACGATAGAATAACTTCCGTGAATTCAGAAGCACAAGTTAATGGATCTTCAGTGCTGACACAAACATCTAGCCAGGGAAAGTTTCGGAAATGGTCTTGAAGATCCTCCCGTTCAGCTGATCTGTAATGCCAAACTTTGCGTGGATCAGATTGTTCCCCAACATTCATCGGTATTCCACTCAACACTGAAATAAGTTTGTGGTCAGATGATCCTAATGGAGACCTTTCGGTGACTAAGTAAATTTCTAAATTGGTTGTTAGGAAAATATCCAAAAAACTAGCTCCGTCAGGCTCATTTATAATCTGAGTAATTCCGCTACTTATTGCATAATCTTTGCGACCTGGTTCGCCGTTGATGTTTGAATATTTGAGCCATTCGATACTGTGGACATTGAAGTCACCGAATATGGAAATTTCGGCACTGGGATTGATTTGCAGAAAGTCAGTGGTATTTGCAAGTGAAGAGAATAGTACCATATATATTATATATGGTTGGATGGTCGATAAACGCAGTATATGAATTTGGTGATATTCTGTGATATTATTTTCAACCACATAAAATCAAAGTTTCGGGGTTCCAGCATTTCCTCTCGTTGGCAGGATCGCTTCTGATAAAAAGATATATTCCAAAGTTACATCTGAATCGGGAGTGGAAATCATAGCCGGGATATCGAAAATTGACGGGGTTTGTTGAAGCACTGGGTTTGGTGTCTGTAAGTACAAGAATATGAGGACTGAGTTTGTATTTGAATTGAGTCCTCTGAGGTTGCAAAAATCGATTTTGAAGTTGCTAGTGGGCCTCTTAGCAACTGCAGTTACCGTGCTATTTAGGATTTTTCTATCACTCATAACCCAACCTAAATTTTGTTATTAGCCCTTGCCAGTTGAATTTTTTTTCAATGAGGTATCTGAACTGTACTAAAATGAATCTCCGTTGAACGGATTTTTGATACGAATAACTTACCAGTAGTTACGGGTTTCTCCTGAGAACTGATGCAATGATAAATAGGAGGTTCAGTTGTGGAAGATTCTCCTTTTCCCATTCTTATACTGTAATAAGTTTTCAATTAATCTACCTAATAAATTGAGGAAATTGAATAGATCTTATTCAAGATGCGTTTTTTTTGTTTGTTTATTGATCCATTAAAATGAGCTCAAGAAAGCAATTGGATAAGTCAGTACATATCGAATACAGATATATAACAGACACAGTCACAAATAACAATAGGTATTAAAACAATCAAGTAAGTGAACAAAGCAGCAATGATGAAAAATAATACAAATTTTTTTTTACCAATGTAGGTAAGATAAAAATTCATAGATTTTCTGGGAGCTAATTTCAAAAAGTTATTTTATTCTATGTTTGAATACTTGTTCCTTGGTAATAATTTTAAGAAATTCTGGAAGTGTGTTATATAATCTCAGCCCCAAAATCTTCAGACGTAGAGATAAACGTGATTTGGGTATGAGAAAATAATTTCTGATTTCTTTATTTTTTATGAATATACAACAAAACTTTCAGAATGAAGAGACTATATAGAGGCAAAATTTTCGATTTTTTAATAATGTTCTACACGATGATGTAAGTGATGCGTTACAAAAAAATTGTGTGCAGATGGAGAATTTCCCCAAACAATAATCCCATAGTTACATACCTGTGATGCACTGTTCGGAACCTATGGTGAAGTAATGAAAATTACTGCAGTTTCATTCCAACACCAAACCGTCATTTTATTAAGACCTCGACAAGACACTTCAAGGGGAAGATTATTCTTTCTCTACTATGATACTATGGTAATCAAAACACGTATCGAGGTGTTGGGATAAAACTCCAATAATATTCCATAGTTAATTTTTTATTGTATCTGCCCGTGATATTATAAAAGTAGACCAGAGTTGTGTAAGATTCTTTTCAGGTTTTCTATTAGAAAGCACTTGGTATTGAGTATTTTAATGAGATTATCGCAGTGCTGACGGAAAATGAGATTGCTGTCTGGAAAAAGTTCTAAAATTATATAATGTTAACTCTTTCTATCTCAACACCGGATTTTCCAATACTAATGTCTACTAAGTTAATATTTTGGGTAGTGTGGAAAGCTACTGCTTTCATTTCGTAGGCATACAAAAAGAATGAATTTTCAATGAACCAATTTTGCAAGCTATCAAGATCAGAATTTATATTTTGTTGCAATTCATGCAATTAATTTGATTTACATAGGAGAGAAGAATCATCAGCATACCAACAAGTGAGTGACTTTTGCAAAACAGATGGCAATTCATTGATATATAGAATAAAAAGGATTTTCCCCATAATTGATCCTTGGGGAACACCTATGTCATTATTCATTAGATCGTTTCTCTATTCTTCTCAATGGGTGTTTTTTTTGGCAAGAGTTACAAATTTTCTATAATTCGTGTCAAGAGCTAAAAAATAACATAGCAATTTTCCGGATTTGCTGGACGTGGTCCGACGTTTCGTCATGTAGTACTGCGGTAGACATTTTCAACGTCGATGAAGCAACGGACGGGTTTTTCCCACATCAGATGCTACATTATCGCAATTTGTCACCGGTTTCATTCCATCACTGATACGCCTGGCTTCGTTTCTATTGGTTGGAATACATGACCTTATTAGTATGCAAATAAGGGCAGGTAGCCATATTTCAAATATGGTGATTGCGTCTTCTTTTCTATTGAACTTTCATATACCTCCCTTTATACCCTTGGATAGCAATTGTTAGTTTTGTCAAGTAACTGTGTTTCTTCGAAAAACATATTGTGTCTCCTTAGAGTGTATGTTCAGCGACAGCTTATTTGTCGAAGTGATTATTTTCTTTTGTTCAAAGAACCAGCTCTATACTTCTTTTCATAGTTTCAATGTAGACTGACCCGCAGCTGTAAGGGATTAGGAACAATCCGGTGTTACTAAAGGCACTCTGAGGTCCTCGTCTGACCTTGGACTCTCTCTGATAGTTTTTATTGGCTCGAATATTGATTTCATGTTGGGTTTTTTCAGAATTTTCCCAATACGGTCTGTTATATTTTGAACATTGGCAATCTTACTTGGGTTCTCTTCTACTTCGTCCCATTTTCACGTCTGTTCACAGTGAAGTCTAGAAAGGCGGTAGTTGCCACATTGCCTTCGATAATGTTTACCGCAGTGGTAGACGAAACGTCAGTCATGACATAGTGAAAGTTTCCACTCTTTGAGTAATGAAAATATTGGAGACTTGGATTTCGCTAGATTCAACTATCATTCCAATAGAATAATCACCGTTGTATAAGTTTACCATGGGATTGATACAGTACAGAGTGGGCCAAATTGGATACCTTTAAAGGAAAACTCCTGTGTCTGAGAGTCAAATTTTATGACAAACTCAATAGAGGAAACCGCATATCGATATTTATCATCGTAAAGTTGCTGTAACTTTTTTTCTGCCAAAATTTTTTTGTTTCTATGAAAACATTCACGAAGCACTTCTTTACGCAGAAATCAAGGATGTAAAAAACTTTTTCAGATGAGATATCAATAGTTATTGATGGAAAACTAATTTTTCCAACGAGACACCTTGTATATTTCAATAGAGCTTAAAATAACTTTTCCAAAAATGTAGCACACTTGATGTTTTGCTAGAGTAATCTTTGAAATATAGAGCTTTCAGGTTTTTTTCATGTAGACTTTGAAACGCACACTTTGATCAAGTAGGCTTTGGACGATGCGGCGATGAAACAGAATGCTTTACTGGTGGCTGTCAAATTTTGATTCAAGCAGTAAACACGTTCTTCAATTAGTGGTTTTTGTTCAGTTTTGAAACACATTCGCAATGAAGTATGAGAATTATAAAAAATGGGATATGATAGTCTGTCTTATAAAAACCAAGAAAAATGCAGAAGCAGGAAGCAATTTGTATCACGAGAGGTATCCAGAGAGAAGACAACCCTTTAGAAACATTTTCACAAGATTGCGACACAACCTAACTGATGGTGGTCAATTTGAAAATAAAAGGCCGAAATTATATGAATCAAATATGGATAAGAAGTTGGAATAAATGGTCGCTTTAGGATCCGTTGAAAATAATCCCAAAAGGTCAAGGTCAACGCAAAACTTGAAAATAGCAAACAGGCCTACCAAGAACTAACGTTAGGAGGATTTGGAAAAAACATACAAACAAGCCATACAGGACTAGAAGAGTTTATCAACTCAGACATCTCAGAGGTATTTAGAAATTTCAAGGCTGATGAATTGCCACTAATGGAGTTCAGTTATTTTCAATAAAACAGGGCTTCGCCTCACAACACTGCAATTGTCATAAATTTTTGGCTGCCTTTGGACTTTTAACTCTAGGGAAAGTTGAAAGATCTTATTTTCCGACCAATTCTAGATACGAATTGGAAGCAGCAGTGATGCAAAGTTTTGCTTCTCTCACTTCTATTGAACTAATCAATTCGGCAAAAAAACGTTCAGAAAAGGTGTCACCTGAATGTAAAAGTAGCTAGTAGACATTTCTAACACCTTCTCTCAAGAAATATATTTCACTGTTTATTCTTTATCATCATTATTATCATAGTTGAAATTTCATTTGTTGATAGTATATGTAGTATAAATCAGTTTTATTGAAACTATGCGTTTCAATTACTTCTGTGGAAAGCCTTCTCAACATTTGATAGCAATGAACCTGCATAACAAATCAATATCGTTCAATTTCAATGAAACCAAAAAAATTACATATGATGACTAAAAAAAACATTTCTCATATAAAGTATCATTAAACAATCCTACTCACTTTTGTAAACCGGTATACCACCCAGCAGCAACGACGAGGCTCACTACATAGTCAACTGGTACAATATCCAAAGTTCCATTTTCATAATAGTTAACCCTGTTGATACCCAAGGCATATGATACGGTAGCTCCTTGCAAGCCAGATGTACCTTCAATATAGCCTGTGACTGGTTCTTCGGCAGAGGATACCACTGAGTAGGAATAAACCGCATAGTTAATGAAAACTCTGAACTCTTCAATAACAAAAAACATTATACACACTAACATACATAAATACATCAGTTTCAATAGTGATATAACTCTAAAACAACTGATACTTTTTCAGCTCAACTTCTAAATTGAAGGCAGCCAAAAAACATTTTTCTGACTCACATTATCACCACTTGTGTGGCTTTTTGGAAAATTGAAGAGTCAATAATTGGGCCGAGTCATTTCCTTTCCAGCCAAATTTCTTCCTATTATAGCCTCTCTGTGTTACAGGGGCAACTACAAACTAGAGAAATATTGGCACAAAAGTCTTGAAACCCAATGTTAGCAGTAGAAATCAGAAAATTCTTGTGAAATTCATTGTTTTTATGAAATATTGTCGTTGCTTCAGTTCTTTTCCGGCAAGGTCTCTAGTGGATCATTTTAATTATTCTGAACAATAACTTCACCGACTGAGTTTTGTTTGATCAAATATTTTTTAAGGAAAAAACACAAGCACTACACGAAAATCCTAAAGGCATTCTAAGAGGGTTGCCTGTGCAAAAGTAGTGATTCATAATGGATTTGAATCACTGGAGAATAAAACCATTTGAAAACAAGAGGAAGTTTACTGAGTTGAACCTCAAAAAGATGAACAGCCACAGTCCGTCGCGTATTTCTGATATGTACTGTTCTTGGTGGAATGTAATATGCCGAGTTACTTGAACACTTCCCGTAAAAATATTTATAACCTTCCTTCGAATTTCCAGACTATCAAGGTTGCAAGTGATGTCTTCAGTTATGCGGATGGCTCTTCCCTGGATGGAATCCAGAAGCTTCAGGGTATGCTTAGGGGCGGAGCTCTATACATGAGAACAATACTCCAAAGGTCTGATCTAAGCTTTATAAAGCATCAAAAGTTGCTGAGGTGTGTACAATTTTCTGGTTCGGAACAGTGTTCCAAAGTTTTGAGAAGCAGCCTTTGCGATTTCAACGAAATCATTGTGCCAAGACATATTGGTGTCCATTTTAACCCCCAACAAACCTATTGATATTATTATTAAATATTGATATTATTGTAATCAATAATTTTCAGTTTAATGTATAAGTTTGAAAATGTCCTTATAGAACGAAACTGCAGTAACGTTAGTTACAAATAAAAGTGGAGAAAGTTTAAATTGTCATTTTTCATAATGATTTCCTACCACGTAGTAACGGGTACAAACATCAATTTATTGATTGCCATTTCCCCAATCCTTACAAATTTGTCAACACAATAATAAATTTTCGGATTATGTTGGGATAATTTTCAGTTCGTCTTTTCTTTGGAATTGTGAATTCGAAAAGTTTTCGCGCACTAACTATTAAACTGTTTCACTAATCATACTATAAAAAGTGGTAAGTACTTTCACAGAGTCATAACTAAAATAACTTATTTGTTTGTTGTCAAATAAGTTATAATCATGATGCGATTTTACTCAAGAATGATATATCAAGCTATACAAGAAATGTGTGTCTTGATAATAAACCTAAACGAAAGAAAATGAAAGAGTAAATGATCTACCAAACAAAAGAATCAGAGTGGCTACATAAGTAGTATGATCAATTGGCACAAGTTATCATTAGGCCATCCGGCTAAATGTCACTAATAATGCTGGATATTTTGTTTTCGTTGCATATTATTCGTTTTCCCACCTTTCAAACCTTGCTTGGACTTCAATTAATCGTTCAAAACCAGAATTAGCTAAATCGGTCTAGCCATTCTCGCTTTTCAGTAAGTCTAATCAAAAGTTAATATAAGCATGGGTCCACAAGGCGTCCATTTTGAGATACATACAATTCATTTCTATTTTTCGTGAAAGAATTTTAAAATAATGTCAATATTTGAACAAAAATTGGTATTTGGACTTTTCGATGTGAGAAATTTAAATTTGGTTTCAGTTTGGCACTTGATTTTAGGTGGCACTACCTAAAGGTCTTGGTCTCTTTTGTGGAGCCACAAATTTGTCGTGCATGTATGTATCATAGTGTCAAATTTTCTAGAGGAAAAATCGATTCCTCTATTATTTTCACGTGAAAAAAGTATGCTTGTCATAAGTCAAAATATTTTAGCTTAAATTATTCAATGCATCCATTCGTTTTCTCATTGATTCGCGAACTCTTTGAAAATGAAAGTATCAAGTAGGCTAGTAACTTGTTTGTTTTCCTGCTGTCACGTCGAAAATAATATGAATAGATTCTTTCGTTATCAGTGTGATTATTGGTATGAAAATGGTAATATCTTTACCAATTCATACATTTCACATATAACGGAAATGCATATGAGGCAAGACATATCCGAGCCTTATCCGAACCGCACAGCTCCTACTTCAAAAACCTTTTAGAGAATTCACACTAGGTTAAGGGAAACAGGAATTCTTGAGAAAGCTAATCATCTGCAGCAGTTCTTGATCTGGTAGGGAAACAAACGGAAACAAGCTCCACAAAAATAGCGCTGACGCTAAACATTTCCAATTTTGGTATGGAAAATTTTCTGGCACTCCTTCTTCGTAACTTTCTGTTACGTATAAACTTCTGTCGTTGATTTCTCCAACACCTTATTTAAAATCCATTCTTTGAAAATCAAATCAAACAAAGCAAATTTTTTAACGAAACGCTATACGCAGTTTTCACAATCATTTGTGGTCAGAGGAAAACCCCCATGCTATACAAGAATCATAGTTATATTTTTGATTTTCTTTTCTTTCTCTTTTTATTTGTTCCCTTTTCAGGGTTAAGTGAAAGAACATTTTCCGTGATGTATTTCATTTCGGACGATGAATTTCGCCCTTTATTTCGATTGTAAGTTGAATATATAAGTTATGTTGTATTTTTTGTTGTGGTTATGAAATAATGAAAGCGATATTATTATTATTATTATTATTCGTATTTCCAAGAACAGTTCCATCTCAACGTGTTGGCAAGAATCTTTGGAGATTATTTTTTGGCCCATTCTTCATTCCGGGAAGATTAAACGGAGACAGATATCGTCATTTTCTCGAAGAAGATTTGTATATTTGACTGGAAGATGTGCCGCTTAGACTACGAAATAAAATAAGGTTCATGCAAGATGATGCTCTGGCAAATCTTAGTATACAAGCGGAAGAATTCTCAGATGAAACTTTCGGCAGCCGTTTGATAGGTCGGGAGGGGCCTCAGCCGTAGCCCCCCGGGTCACCAGACCTCAACCGTTTGGATTTTTTCCCACGAGGACATTTAAAATCTTCAATTCAACAGACACCTATTCAAAATGAAGGAGAATTATGAAATCGATTAACTAGTTCTTGCATATCGATTCAAAGAGTACGATTTTTCAAAGAGTACACAAGTCAATGAGAAGGAGGTTAGATGCGTGCACACAAGCAGGATGTTGACATTTCGAACATTTATTGTGATTTTCAAATAAATTTATATCTACGGTTCTGTTGATTATTGTTGATTGAGAATTAACGTTTGAAATGTGTCTAGGTTGAATGAAGAGAACAAATTTTTTTAACTTTTTCACAAACGAGTGCATCGATTAATTTGAATCAAAAATATGTAGAAAACGGCTTCTTGTAGCGACAAGCATAATTTTACACGGGAAAATAATAAAGGAGACGACTTCTCTTCTAGAGAATGTGAAACATAGATGCACGATAAAATTGTGACTCACCAAAAAATACTAAGGCCTGTAGGTGGCGCCACCTACAATTAAGTGTAAAATTGAAATCAAATTTTAATGTATCTTATTGAAAAGTCCTCAAATACCAATATTTATTCACGAAAAACCAAAATTAAAATGAATTATCAACACCATTTATCTCAAAAATAGAGGCCTTGCGGACCTATGCTTATATAAACTCCTTGCTTTATAGATAACTGAAGAATCGTCCTGTGAAATATCGGGCACTTATCACATAATACCTTCTATACAGAGAAATCATTAAGAAACGATTGGCGACAGTTCTCAACATAAAACACTACATTACGTGTCTTAACTTCTCAATTGAAAACCTCTTCAATTTTCCAAAAATTCATTCGAAATGAAAATTTTTACATGTTATATTAGAGATCGAAAGAAGATTAAGTAAGATTTTGGCTTTCTACTACTCCATCTTGATACAGAAATATGTGGGAATCTTCCAAAGAAAGGAATGAAGTAATCAATTTTTAAAAAAGTAACTTTATACACAGATGTGAAGATCACTCAAAGAAGTAACTTTCAGACACAAATTGGGAGAAAAAGGCTACCTGAATTAGCTATTTTCATATAAACATTGAATTATACGAAAGAAAACTTCTTTCGAAACAAATACTTTTATATGAACACTTTTCTCTACTCTTGTTTGTATTCTAAACTTTCGTTATGAAACTGAATCAGATGTCATTCACAGGATTTCTACACAATATACTAAATAAAAAGTAAAAATTTCACTTACATGGAACACTGTCATGCTCACTGGTAGACGTCGATGTTTCGCCGTAAGACATTAGCCTTAGGGCTCTTCAGTACCAATATGGATAACATTATAGGAAAAAACACTTAAGTCATTCATAATTATGATTTTTATGTCACGAAATAAGTTTGATATACTCATTCAGTGTTCATATAAAAGTATTTGTTCCGAAAGAAATTTTCTTTCGTGTAATTCAATGTTTCAATGAAAGTTACTGTTTCAAGGAGGCTTTTTCTCCCAATTTATGTCTGAAAGTTACTTCTTTGCATGATCTACACATCTATATATAAAGTTACCTCTTTTAAAATTGATTACTTTCTTCCTTTCTTCGGAAGATTCACACATATTTCTGTATCAATATGGAGTAGTAGAAAGCCAAAAACTTTCTTTCACAAAAAATTTGTCAATCCTAAAAATATAACTCATTCTTTCAAATTCAAGGTTGAGTAATACTCGCAACGTAGATGTAATCTGCATGACCATAGCAAAAAAAGTTCTGCTAGATATACTTGAACGATACTCACTCAGCGATGGTCTGATAACACACAAAGGAAGACTTTTTCCATGTCTCTTTATAATATCCTCTGCTACATTCATTGTATAAGCTACCGCATTTGGCCAACCTTGTAATAACCTAGAAAAGTTTCAAAATTCCATCAATCAAATTCAGAGGGCTTTGGGGATTGTTGTTTGTAAGGGGTGACATCTACGAAAAAACATATTTTAACATTTTTTACAGGTCGTGATGAAAGTGAAACGTTAAAAAGCACGTATGTGCTTTTTAACTTTTTTCAATTTCAATTTTCAATTGCAATAAATTTCAGAATATCTTTGAGAAACACGTCTTCAACTCACTTCTTTTACAATAGGTTTTTCAATAATTTTCACTTTCTTCTTGAACCGATTCAACAAAAAAATTTGTCAGTTGTTCCAAAAATCGGTTGAAATTTTGATCAAAATTTCTGCCATCCATTGATAGTAAATAATTTGAAAAAGTTAAGAAAACCGTAGTTTCTGGAACTCATCGTTCAAAAAACAACGTATATGCATGTGGCATGGGTAAGTTATTAAGAAAGCAACTTCCTGAATGCACAAAATGAAACTTATATACACTTTATGGAAAGTTGAGGAACGATATACCATTTTTTTATCATGAGAAAAGTTTGAATAAACGACTATCTTTCGATTAAAAAGAGCTGTCGAAAAAAATATATTTCTTGGAATTTTTGTTTTCAAAATAACCTTTACTTTTTCAACTCAAAAAACTCAGAGTCGTCGTCTTGGATAATGGAATTATGTTTCCACGGCAGAGTATCGAGAATCTGAGCAAGAAGTTTTCTCTCGTCATCATGTCAACACTGAAAACACTGTGTGCATACGAGTTTTCGTAGTTTTCGAAGTTTACTTTGTTGTTTACAACATTATTTTTCGCACCTTCAGGTTTCTCAACGCATTTTTTTTCCTGAGTTTTCTACATTTTTTATCTCAAGCCCGCAAAATCGGTCATCATACATCCGTTCGCCACATTATTCATCAAGCAGAAGACTCTTTTGTTAACATTGACATATTGTAGATCTTATCGCTTGAGAACTCGTTTGTATAGATTTTATCTAGAATGGTTGCGATTCCACCTCGTATATGTGTGAATTCGTATCGGTATAAATGAGTTTGCATTCGTCTAGCGTGAACTTTTTCATCGTGGAGCCGTATGTAATGAAAATTGTATAGACATATTTCGGAAATATCGAAAATGGTCATACCAATGTAGAGAGGTTTACTGAATAACAGATCACACTGGTTGATTTCGATATCCATTAGATAGAAAACGGTTCCTTGCAAAAATTTCGCTCCAAACCTGTCGTACCATTATTTCACCAATTTCACTATTCGATGTTTCACAATATTCTTCATTATTTTTTCTACAGAGGCTTTATTGGCTAACTTGATGTTTTTGTCGAAAACTGTCATCATGATTTTGGCGAGCAGGTGTGTATTCAGTTCACTGCATGGGCGTAACTATGCCAACTGATATAGAACTGAAGCAATCTGTTGGTTTTTGTGAGAATACGCACGTTTGTAAGAGCATGTTTCAGCAATTGGTATAGTAGAGGTGAACGATATTGTGCACATTTGAAGTTGGCGGCACTCTCAAAGGCTAAAAAAACATTTAAAGTCATGTTACGCTAGTTGCACACACACCGATTTTGGACGGCCGACTTTGTACCGGTCGTCCAAATTCCAATAGTGAACCACATGTGTGAATGGGATCTGGCACACACGCCGACCGGTGATCGTCGCCGGTAAAATACCGGTGAGCAGCCGTCCACTGCCACTGTATCGCCGGCAGTACCGGGAAGTTGTGGCGTACATGACTAAATACACTCTTGCATACTCACCGCTTTTTTAACCGACCATTCCAGTCTCGGATGCTCGGTGAAATTGTAGTTACGAATTAACTTCGTTTTGGTAGTACGTGCTAATTACGACAACAAAGCAACCGATTGTTTGACCGATAAAAATTCGGTGAGTGTGCAAGCACCCGCTACCAATAAAATATCGGCCGATTTTATACTGGCCGGCCAAAATCGGTGTGTGTGCAACTAGTTTAACGCTAGTGGCAGTGGATGGCTGCTCACCGGTATTTTACCGGCGACGATCACCGGTCGGCGTGTGTGCCAGGTCCTGTTCCCACATGTGGTTCACTATTGGAATTTGGACGACCGGTACAAAGTCGGCCGTCCAAAATCGGTATGTGTGCAACTAGCGTTACGGTGATGAATAGAAATCGGTGAATGCGAGGATGGTTATCGCCGTCGTGTTCACTTCAGGAACTGATCGCGATTTGAGTGTTGAAATTGGATATTGGTGCAGTTATAATTACTTAAAATTTTTGTTATCCGTTCAAAATGTAGCGTCCTTGGACAAATGTTAATAGTAATGGCGAGTTTGATAACAAGTAGTAATTCCAATAGCGATGGTGAACAATGCGAAAAAGAGCTACCAGTGAATAAGATTCGGATGCAACTAACCATTATTTTAATACCTCGACACGTGTTTCAATCACCAAGTGATCATCTTCAAGTGGAAGATTGAACTCAACTACGTTTAAACTCAACTACGTTCAATCTTACTCTTGGAGATGATCACTTGGTAATTGAAACACGTGTCGAAGAGTTAAAAATAACAGTTGTGTTGGGGTAAACTTCAGTAATATTCATTTTTCATATGATAATCACGATTTTCAGAGACTCCTGTTACTACAGTGTCGATATTTTTTTGTAATATCTTCAACCGGTATATGTGCTCGAATTGGATCTTTCAACTTGTTCACCAATTATATTATCCAATTTTGATTCTTGCTAGATGTTCAATTGTCTTCATTTCTGAAATGTTTTGACGTCTCACTCAATTTCACTGAGAAGTTTGTATTGATGCTTCTTTATACAAAAACAAAATCACATACTTCCATTTCATTCTTCACTTTAATTTTTCACCACGTCTTTCTTTCAATAATTGTTGGTATCTCGAAAATATTTTAAATATACTTACTCAGATGCCCGTTCTTCCAATATTTGGTCATTAGAAAATTCAAGAATTTCAACGAGTTTTCCACCTGTCAAGTCATAAAATTTTTCATGGATTTCATATTGTGGGAAATTTGAATGAACTGATGAGATGTAAACAAATGTCTGAAATAAAACGTCAACATTAAAATTAAATCATGTACTTCTAAATTCGTTCTGAGCTATCATAAAGATATTCGACTCAGTTATGAATAACCTGAAATTGTTACATTTTCTGGACTGAATCTTGAAATCACTGTCTCAACTACAAAAAAAAAAACTAAATAGGTAACCAAAGTGATAAGCTCAGATAAATATTTTTTATAACAAAATCAACATAACATAAAAATTATAAAACCAACTTGCAAATTGTAAATGAAATAACTTCAAATTGGTATTGTTTTTCAAATGCAAATGCAAATGTTTTTCAAATGGAAATGCAAAAAAAAATTTGGTAATAACCTATAGTACCACCTCAACAAAGAAGTCTTCTTTGCCAACTTTATTCTGTCTGTTATAAACAAAAATATATATGGAGAGTCACTTGAACCGTATTCGTGTATCTGCTGTATCGAAGTTTTGTTCAAGAACTTCTTGAAATGATGAGTCAAACTCAAGATGGCCTCAGGACACACCTTCTCGAGGTACCATATCTACCGCACGTAGAACCGACACCATCTCATTATTTATTCATGATCTTGTCTATGGTTTGTTTCTTGGCGAGAAACCAAGTAAATGTTACAAGATACTTGCAGCAACAAGCAGACATATTAGAGGAGTGGGCCAACCTGTGGAAGATCAGTATAAACCCTGACAAGAGTCTGGCGATACTGTTCACCCGCAGGTTTGTACAACCGGAAGGCAACGTCATCTTCAACGGATAAGAGATTCCGTGGACCAGCAATGCGACATACTTGGGGGTCATCTTAGACAGGAGATTAACATTTCAGTCTCATGTACGGCAGAGAATTGGAATGGCTAGACAGGCCAGACAACGACTGGCACCTATCATAGGACGCAGAAGCAACATGGGGTTGAAAGTGAAGTTGTGTATGCCTGCACTGCCTGGGGCCAGTGCACACAGACATACAGGAAGCAGATACAGTCGTTTATGAACGCGAGCGTAAGGGACGCCGTAAACGCGCCGTACTATATCCCAAATAGATACTTATACAGAGACTTAGACCTGGACACGCAATATGTGGACGTGTATATGAGAGAACACGCAGAAAGCGTGTTTGATAGAATCAGATCGCACAACAACCCAGCGCTACGCGATCTACACGATGCGTTAAACATTGGTGACCCCAGGATCCGAGAAAGAGACGAACACCCAAGGCCGACTCAGCAGAACCAACGACCGCCCCCAGGAGTCGCCGCCAGACGACTCCGGTAAGCATACTAATCAGATTTTCTTTCAGCAAGTTCACCGCAGAACAACTCGACCGCGATCCAATTATCCTTAGAATCACTGAGGAACGCCCGACGTTAATAGCAATAGCCGACGGTTAGTTTTTGGGGGCCCCCATGCAAAAATTCAGTTAGGAATAGTCAGACAAAACATTTCTTTCCGATCGCGAAAGAATAGCACCTAAAGGCTAACTTTCGACCAAAAGAGGTCAGATGTCAATCTTGCTGAAGTGCCCATCAGTAAGTTGAGGACCGCTCGGAGAGCGGGGGTGGATGGAGTGGGATAGTAGGTTCTCTTCGCTAAATAGCTGGGGGGAAGATTCTACTTTAGGGCACTCAACCCGGGAGGGGGCATGGGGGGGGGTTGTTTATTTTTTTTGCATGTTTGTGTGACCGTGTATTTTATTGCACCAATTTATTTTCATAAGGGTATACAACTCTAAAATAGTAATTGTAATAACGTATTGTATGACCCAGACACACCAAGTTTATAAGCGTGGATTGCAGATGTAGGACTTTCGTGAAATGTTTCGTCAATGGCATCTGTAGCAGATAATCCAATTTACGATTTGTTAACAAGTCTAGTGATGTAAATACTACTGAACATCGCTCAGATCTGTTTTTGGGTGCAATTTATCTTTAATAAGACAGATTCATTTATATATAGCATTTTTATCAAATAAAAAGGGAGTGTTGCAGGTATTCATACTGAAATTCAAATTGCTGTGTAATTTATCATGGATCTTCAGTGTTAGTGTTAGTGCTTTCAACTTGTGTATTGTTTTATAATACAGGCCGTTTTTTTTATCATGTGGTAACATTGTTATATTCTGAACCGTAACAGATACGAAGACGGGTCATCGGGACCAATACAACGGTCGAAGAAAATTTACGAGGACTCTCGCCCTTCTCGAGTTATACGGGGAAAACCAAAAATGCTGTCTTTCGTTTTTTCGAATGGAATTGTTATTTCAGAGAATATCAAGAAATGGAAAAAAATGTTATTGTATTCGAAGTATACTTTGACGATGTAATGATAAATATTCGATAAAACGTTTCGTGTCAACCTGGCCACCAACAACTTTTTCTTTAAATACGGACCTGTTTTTTTATTACATATATTGATGAAGCGATAAATTCACAACCCAAGGGTATATCACATTTGATATTTTTCTAGCGTTTCATTTGAAATAACCACCATCATCAGTGACAACAATCAAACATAAAAACATTTTTTTTTATCATGAACTTTTGGGAAAAATGAGACCAATACGGAAATTCAAAGCTACATGGCAATCTACATTGAACGCTCGAATTGATGACCTTTTTATTGAATGCGCATAATTTGTCGGTCCAGACAATTTAAGTGGGAATTTTCTAGCATAATAGATGTAATACCAATACATGCATCTTTTATTTTTTGTTTGAGATAGTCGATATCTGTACTTGGGTGTTAAAAAAAAAACGGTATCCTTCATGTATCTTGTTCCCACAATTCCCAACCAAACATTTATTCCGAACGTTTCTTGGAAATTGATTTCCCTATGTAAATCTTCATTTGTATTATTCCACCTATAATGGATATTTCTGTTAAACCAACCGTTGTTGGTGAATTTTGATTCGTCCGTGTATATTATTTTTTTACAAATATTTCCAACTTTCCTATTTCTACGTCTTAACCACTTCGCAAATCGTACTCTCCTTCCGTAATCCCTTTCATTGAGGTGATGAACTTTACGTACCCTGTAGCATTTATATTTCTTCTTTTTCAAAATAGTTCTGGTGGAATTTACAGAAATCCCCATTTCGTTGGCAATTTCTCGTACAGAACAATCTTGATTAGCATAATTTTTGTAACTGACAAATCCTAAATTAAAAAAAAGATGTTTTCACAATGTAAATTTTTGTGTGGTAATATTTGCTTACCCTTAATATTTATTTGATTCCTCACACTTCCAGTAACCACACATTTCCTTGTTTTCTTTCTGTCAAATGGAGCATAGTCCCTCAAATTTCTTTCTAATCGTCTAAACATTTGGATGTTCCAAATACGACGATTCGGGTATAGCTCATACATATTCCTTGCCAAAAGAGGATTTCTATTTGATTTTGCATAACTAAATAGCATATCAGTCCTTTTATTATTTGAATACATCTTTGATATGTTCATAAACGTCTGACGTTCTCCACAGATACCAACAACGCATTCATTTTTCCTGCCATAGAAACAAAGCAAAGCCTACGTGTTCAAGACGGTAACTGAATTGAGATGATATTTGATCATACCAAATTATACAACAATTGAATTTTGATCATGAACTGATATTTTCGTTACTTCCAGGATTGAGAATCATAAAAATATTACGAATTATAATTGATTAGGGAGAAATAAGCCTTGAAAGAAGGATTACGACAATACAAAAATTTTCACAATGAAAAAGAACAAATTTTCATTGTGTTAGGGTACCCATCTGTCGAATTTATTGGGTTGTCTGAATTATATTTTCGTTACTTCCAGGATTGAGAATCATAAAAATATTACGAATTATAATTGATTAGGGATAAATAAGCCTTGAAAAAAGGATTACGACAATACAAAAATTTTCACAATGAAAAAGAACAAGCTTTCATTGTGTTAGGGTACCCATCTGTCGAATTTATTGGGTTGTCTGAATTATATTTTGAAGAAATCGAAACAATTCACAAAATAAGTAACCATAGGACTGTAATTTAAAATTGTCACTGATGATGGTGGTTATTTTAAATGTTATATTGGATAGTGGATTTATCGCTTTATCAATATCTGTAATAAAAAAGACAGGCAGGTATTTAAAAAAAAAGTTAATGGTGGTCATGTTGACACGAAACGTTTTATTGAATATTTATCATTATTTAGTCATAGTACACTTCCATTTTTTTATATTCTCAAAAATAACAATTCCATTCAAAAAAACGGAAAACACCATTTTTGGTTTTCCTCATATAACACGAGAAGGGCGATACCATTGTATTAGACATGATGACAGTTACCTTTTTTTTCATTTCTTTGAGCATACACTCGATCGCTCGGTGTGATTTTCTCAATACACACATGAAACAATTTATCTGTTATAAGGGGAATATGTAGAAGGTTCTCGGGGAGCAACTTTCGCGTTGTTGAATGGAAATCCTCCCTGTCCGCAGAAAAAATCAATAGACAATGTTAAACACATTTTGCTGAATCGTTATAAATGAAATAGTAGTTCATTCAAGTAGATGATTTGAAGAATACAGCTTGAAAAACTGCGAAAATATAGAAAAAAATTATTTGAGCACCCTCCGAAATGAGATCCCTCTCTTCCCGACAATATATTTTTTCCAAGAGTTTCAACAACCCAATTAATGTAAAAATATGTACCTGAGTTTGAGAACAAATCAGTGACATTAACATAGGAAAAAAAAGTATACAAATTAAATGATTTATCAATCAGTCATTTATTCCACATCTGAAAAAATATTCAGCAACTGCGAGTTATTTGATTCTATTTGGTTATGACCCGAATTCTTGAATCTATTTATTTCTAAACATAATGAAAGATTCAGTTTCAAACATTTCCCTTCTGAATGTAACATTCGTGATTGAACTCATATCCTGCTAGAAGTTGATTTGCATATGTGGAATTGATCTTTCCATTCAAGAAACTACTTCTGTGTTCTTCGATTCTTCGGGAAAAAGTTTTCCCCGTTTTGCCAATATAATTTTTTGGACAAGAGCCACAAGTCAACTTATATACTACTGATCTATCTGACACTTATTTCTTTGTCTTTATTGTTCTCCTAAACCTAAATTATTATTTGTTATGTGAGCCACGTCCAGGCATTCCCCTTTTTTTAAACGAGCGATATTATTGGTGGCTTTACCAAGTAGTGACAATGTGCTATAGGATGCTATCGTTTCTTGAAGATGGGTGAACCTGGTCCATAGCACGTTTCCGTAGTTTTTATAAACCGTTGTTGACAGCGATTTGTTTGATGTAACTCAGCTCTTTCTGAAAATTACTTTCTGACAGCATACTATTGAATGAGGCTAATTTATGCTGGTAAGGATGTATGGATGAATTATGTATGTCGATGTCTGTTTAAGATGGTTTGTGGACAATGGCAAAATCGTGTTTATTATTGATTTTCGTTATAGTCAAGTCAAGATAATATATTGAATTATTCACCTCTCTTTCAGTGGGGAATATTATTGACGGGTGAATGGAATCGACACTCGAAAAACTTACCTAATTGTTCAGCTGTGCCGATAAAACTGACTAAATTAGCATCTACGTATCTGTATCAGTACAAACACTATTCATTATCTTTGCTGGCTGAAACTTCAGCCAGCAACGGACTCAACGAATTTACTATTATTAATCCATCGCTGCATGAATAAAACCTTTCGTCGAATTGAAAATAATTTTGAGATAGATAAATAGTGGAGTGAATCTGAAGATTAACATGATTTTTGTTTAAAGGACGCTCAGTCAGCTCAATTGTTTCAATTGGCGGAACTATTGTACCTAAAACTGTTTAGTGAAAATCTCGAAATGAAGTTGACTCTTAAATATAATATGGATTTTCATCAGGTGTCGGCCGATTCCATCACATTTACTAGATTTTATATATGCTAAGTACTCGTATACTTAACACGTAGTCTCAAGTTCATTCAGGTTGGAGCCCCGTTCCCTTACCCTTTTAGCTGATTTTTGTCGAAGAAGGACAAATGGGTTCATGACTGGGGGATATTGGCGGTATGAAGTCCTCAGACATCAGTACCACCCTTCGCGGTGTACCTGTACCTGGCTGGGGTGGGACAAAGCTTCCTTAGCTTCCCTAACTAGGGACAAAAAACCAAGTACTTGATAGAAATAACTGCGTTAACGCAAGCGAAACATAAGTGGAACCACCTATTGGTGTGACACCCAAGTCAACTTGCCAAGTTTTTATGTCAGTGTTGGTGGTTTGACCAACCAACCGACAACTGCGGTGGCAGAAATTTGGGAAGCTAACCTGAAATGCCATCGGAAAACGAATCCACATGTTTCTAGAAATGATATGAAATCGAGAAAGGTTAAAGCAGTCAAGCTGCTGGAAAATAATTCCATGAAAATCAAAAGATAAATAAATAAGTACCAGAATGGGTTTACATTCAATTTTCGAAATGCGATTATGAGAAGAATTCACGAAAACAACTTGGCCTACTTTAGAAAACCGAAAGTTTCAATATATTCTTCAATATGTGGTAGAAGAATCCTTCAGTGCTTCGAATACCGTCGTTTCTACTTGTTTTGTTCGTGATTCCAGTTCTATGTCGATCCTATAGATGGCGTTTTCGGCCGTAGAGTTAAGTTAAAACACGTCAGGTATCAAAAAAAAGAAGAATGTAGGTAACCCCAAGACCAGCTAAGACCTGAAAAATAAGTTACTGGAGTTTGATTTGATTTGGAAAATAATAATTCGAGATGGACATCTCTAGAAATAATGAACAAGCGAAATATGTATAATACAAGCGGAAAAACGGCAATGGGTCTGTTTGAGATCTCTGACATTGTCTAAGTAGAGTAACGTTGGAAGGGGCTATCATTTGGATAGAAGACTAGTTCTTGTACACATTTTTGATACAATATTGTTAGACACGCTGTATATCACACGTTCAAAAGTGAAACTTCGTTATTCCCTTGCTTGCATAATACTATTCTGAGTCCTAAATTGTAAATCAACTAATTGAAATCAATGAAAGTGAGCACTTACTCTTGAGTACAAATTGGCGGGCAATTTCCTGAAAAATTTGTCATTTACTTTTTAGAGAAATTCGTAACCAGTGAAAAATATGCTTTTCGAAACTGGTCTTTTGAACCTATTCTTACTTCTGATGTCACACTTGCCACTTCCAGACTCTCAAAGGAATCTAAACAATTTTCATTAATATTTCTCCACATAAATTGTGAGCAAATAAAAAAATTAAATATCAAGGTTTCGGAAAATATCTCTTCCTGAAGTTATTGGTTGAAATGAGAGTTATCACATGTCATTTACAACCTATTCCAATATTTTCAAATGAATAGTATGTTCACTTATCTAATTACATTATTCATGATACTACGAGGTCCGTTCAAAAAATAAGGTGAATATTCAAATTTCGCGGGCTACATACATTCCATTAGCGATTTTTTTACTTTTTTATGTTGGTACACTCGTCTCGAACGAATGTTCACAGTTGCAGCTGTTTACCATTTCCATAAACACTGGATATATTGTTAGTGGCATACGGAGATTGTTCTCCGAGTTATAAAAATGTTGACAAGTGGTACAAGCTTTTCACAGAAGGTTGGGAAGATGTGAATGATGACACCCACCCTAGACGCTCCAGCACATCAACAACCGATGACAATGTTGAGAAAGGGAGAAACATTGGAATGAAAAATCGTCGAACATGCCGAGAATGGCGGCATATGGGTTGAATCATGTCATACAATTTTTCCGTAAATGTTTGGCATAAAGCGTGTGGAAGCGGAGTTCGTTTCAAAATTGTTGAATTTTGACTAAAAATACCGTCCCATGAGCATCACTCAAGATTTGTTGAATGACGTCACCTGTGATCCAGAGTTGTATAAAAGGGTCATAGCTGGTGACGAATTATAGATATATGGTTATGAGTATATGTATTCGAGAATTTTATTAAAACTAGATAATGTCAAAAACACATCAGACTGAAATTGAAAGCTTGTCTTGCGAAGCAAATGAAATCCTAAGGTACCGTAGACAATATATGAGTCTCTCTTATGCTACTTCTATTGCAGCCAAACCAACACATTGTACATATAATAATGTTTTTTCAAGTCGCTTCAAACAAAATTTGACGGGACATCCAAGAACGGACCCTCCTTTTTACGAAAGGATAAACAAATATTTAGAACAATTAGGGTATACACTTCCACCATTATTTTCCAACTCCATAACTACCCCTCCTCCTTGGATGATCAATCCCCCTTTTCACTTTTTCCTAAGAGTACCGATGACAAGCTATGTGATGTTTATACTATCAAGAACTTTATTCAGTCAATTCCGATTATCAAGTATCTGTAAGATATCCTCAGTATCATAGGTATATTCGTAGAGTAAGAAAGTTTGTACGTCAAATTATCGACCCATGAGCCAAATGTCTGTCTTCCCAAAGTTTATGGCAACCATTGTTGCGAAGATATAACAATGTCAGAACAAAACCGAATTCATCAGAGGAAAACAACAATCAACCTGTTGCATTATATTATGTTGTATATATCGAAAAGACTCAAAAAAGGTTAGACTATATAAAGTAAACGTGAACAACACACTTCGCACAGATCTGCAAGCTCTGGGTAACTTAAAAAGAAAAAAAGGAAAACAAAATAAGATCAGAAAGAAATGATTGACATTTATTTGGCAAACACCTATGTCATTCTCTGCTAGTATCAAAGCAATACTAAAATGGTACGAATAAAAACAAACACATCTATTACTATGTAATAATTCAGATGGTCAATATCAGGCAGACGGACCTCGACCGAAGACAAACTCTGAAACACCAAGACGTGTACTTGATTAAAATCAACACATAAACGCGAGCGAGAAATAACAGGAACCTACTGGTGTGACATCCAAGTTAGCTTGCCAAATTTCTGTTAACGTTGGTGTCTTGACCAATCTTCAAAACAGGCAACTGCGTTAGCAGGAATTTGTGGATCTATCCTGGAATGGCATAGTAAAACGAATCCACATGTTTCTAGAAATAATATATCTATAATCAAGAAGGGTTATTGACGCAGTCAAGCTTCTGGAAAATAATTCAATGAACATGAGAAGATAAATAAATGAGTGATCTTCTGATCATTCGCAATATAATTTCAATTAAAAAGCCACCCGCAGACAGCTGTTTCAGCATGTTGGACATCATCAGTACCGTTACCATGTAGATTTTCACGGATGTTGGAATTTGTGAAGTTGCTTTTCAGGGTATCCATCTGTTGTGTATTCTTCAGAGGTAGATGATGTCATCCTCTCAGATGATGTTATCGTCCGTTCTACGTCAAACGAAGAACGAACGATAACAAGTCTTGATAATGCCATGTGAGGTAATGGCGAAACGTCGATCTTCGAAGAATACACAACGGATGAACACCCAAAAAACAAAACGTTTACATGAAATTCTTTTCGTGAGGTTGCATTCAGTTTCGTTTGGGCTGAAAGCAAAGAAAACTCTTTGATATTAGTCAAGCTTTCGACAGTATTCACTGTTTTCTTCGGGACGACTGGAAATTCAGGAAACTCAGGATATAAATTGATGGATGTAGTACGTGGTAGATCATCATGAATTATGAGAAATTAAATATAAACAAATAAAACATAGAAAGTTTCATTTCCCATTTTTCAATATGAAAACAATAATATTGTATTGAAAATAAACACTTACTGATGTGAAAATTGAATAAAATTGATTAAAAGCAAAAAAGTATTAATTGAAATAAAGTGAAATATATTTTTCAATAATATTGTATTGAAAATAAACACTTACTGATGTGAAAATTGAATAAAATTGATTACAAGCAAAAAAGTATTAATTGAAATAAAGTGAAATATATTTTACAAGGTGACAGTGAAAAAAACCAATACCTAATAGTTATTTTAATCAAAGCTGAAAATTTTGATTAGAGGTTGTATGTTCGTCAAATGTTACTTTTTGATTATTGAAAAATTATGTGTACATAATCGATAATTCATGTTATTGTGATTCATTCGATTATTGTGCTGCTTCACAAGTTCTAATTAGAACATGAATTTATATGTCCTTATGAGAAATGATGCGACTATTGAAATTCCTAGATGTTGACGAATATATTTCTTATGACAGTCTCAACAAGGTATCTCAAAAACTAAATTCGATTTTTGTATTGTATTGCATTTGTGGAAGGTGGAAGAGGAGGTGGAAGATGTTAGGTCAACTAGCTAAGTTGAGAAATCAAGTTTGGAGCAAGTATTGCAGTTGTAGACAAAAAAACGAGAACTGATCCAGCTTTCAAATATTCATCTTCAAGAACTGTGTAGGTATAAATATGAAAAACTGTAAAAAATACATTCTAATAGGTGCTTTGGTAGTGAGGTTATATTAAAGAAGGCACAGAAATATTTGAATTCAAAAACACATTACTGGTGTATGGTGAACAAAATACTGATTGAATTATCAAAAATACAGATGGAATGTTACACAATCGAAAACACTTATTGAGTCATGTAAAAATTGAAAACATGGAACAATTTTCTTTAAGATTATGTCATAAATAGAATACCTATACCAACTGCATTTTGAAAATGATCTGGTAAATTTCTACAGGGGAAAGATGTGAGAGGTGAATTTCTTTTTTTTTTCTGAATGTAGTAATATATATAAATGATATCAAGACTTTCTATGTCCCTTCTAGAATTCATAAGGATCGGATTCTTATGAATTTTGATAATTTCTTGGAAGAGTTTTTTTGTATGTTCCATATTTGAGTAGTAAAATATGTTGACACCGTCCCATGCAAAACGGTGGCCTGAGTTGATGGTGTGTTATGAAAGAATGTAACCTTTATGTTATTTCCGGTGTCACTTTTTTAAGAAAAATCTATCTCCAGGAAGTCTACCAATTTGGCAGATGTATACCTACTGGATTCAAGTCTGCACAACGCACAGCATATACTATACCCTAATTATAGGTTTTGGAGTTTCGTCCTTCAATCTTAAGACAAGGTTTTTGACAGTTATGATGTTTTTAAAGCAACATATAAAATCAGGCAAGAATTGTTTTGGCTTTATACTATTACCACACAAGAACTTTTTTTCTTGCTTGGTCATAAGCCTCGTCAATTCACCGCTACACAAAAAGTTATTAGAGCATATAATTAAATCAACGTAAAACAATTTCAACTACAAATGTATACTGTAATATAGCAATATTTGGATAGAATAGTAAAATGAATCCCAAAACGAATGACCATTTGCAGATTAAGAAAGGAATCTGCTATTTCATTTAAAAAATTCTTAGCAAGCCTTGAATTGGCGCAATATAAACGAAATATAGGATCTTGTCGAGAGGTTTGATTGTAGTAGCAGTAGTAGTATAGTTGAAGTAACTGATATAGTAATTCTTAAAGCTATCGCCGAACTCAAAGGCCAAAAAACCTAATACAAAGAAATAATGCCCCTACGAATTATTCCACGTTGACTGAAGAACTGGCGGTTCGTATTGGATAATTTTCACTAAAGTTTTATGATTGACTGAAGAGTCATAAAATTGAATTTAAAGTCATGTTACGGTAACCAATAGAATGTAGCGATGAGTACCGCCATTGTGTTGTCAACGTTCAGTTCAGGAACTGATCGCGATTTGAGTGTTGATATTCTTATTTTCGTCATCAAAAGCGAAGAGGTACGATCGATTTCCACAGAACTCTTTAAAATACATTCATCACTTGATGAATAAATGTGTACAGATTCTTTGAATTTTCTCATTTTTCCCATGTGATTCCTTGGTGGCAATTCATTTTTCACTCTATTCCATCGGCGATCACCAGTTGTTCATATGATGATTCAGACGACGAAGGTCTGTTAGACATGGGAGTTAATCACTACTGAAGTCCAATAACTGTTTGGTTTCGAGCTTCGCAGAGTGAATGAGCCTTGGAGTGAGCTAATCCTAGAAGATTTGGCCAGAAGTTCATAAATCTTCTTGCCATCCAGGTGTTTGTTTGACAAAGCCTAAAACGATGCCAATGAGAGGTTCTTGTCCAATGAAGCTGCTTGCAGCACCCTCCTTCACAAGAGGGTCAACAGTAATCGGACTCTGTGGTTTATATTACGCAGTAATTCTTTGGGGTGACCTTTTCAGTTTGCCCTTCATTACACATTACACATTACACAGCACATTCTATATTGATTCAGCTTCGTTTATTTTTCAGATTGTGGAAGATTATATAAATAAAACATTGACTTCCCGAGGCAAAGTAAGTGTAAAACATAAAAAAAGACTGAAATGACATACATACATAGAAACATACATATCTACAAAATTTCTGTATATTTGTTTGGGATGGTTGAATGATTTTAAGTACACACATACGCGTCGAAATGATAACCTAATTTTTTGAAGACCTCAAAGTATTTCTCCATTGAATTGTGTAAGAATTCTCAGAGAAGCATATTGTAAACTCCATGAAGAATTGACATGTGATAATAATAAATTCTGCAATTACAGTGAATTATAATAGTCACTCATATGTCAATATCTTTCTTTGAGAAGCTATGCAAAAAATTCAAAAAACACAAAAGAAATGTGAAATTGCATCTGAATCAGAACTGAATTATTACCAATTCAAAATTCACTAGCCTCTTCGAAACCGGTTTATCTAAAAAATATCCGTTGTACCGATATCGATTGGCTAGAATTTGGGTTGGTACCATTACGTTCGAGATGAACTGTCATTTATTAGATAGAAAAGAGCTCCAGTTGTCTTTATCATTACAATTTGTTTGCGTACTTTGTAAATGGTATCACCAAACTGTCTTTCTAATTCAGAATATATTGATTTCGAAGCTGGGGATTTTCGTTCGAGAATAATCATATACTGGCCATATTTTGCAGCAGATCAATAGGTATATTTCATTGTATTTTCAAGATAAGTTCCTCACGTTCAGAGTAAATGACGATGTTCCACTGAAGAGTTACTGTTTCGAAACTGTAACGTTGTTTAGGGGGTGGAGGATTGAAGAAAATAGTTTCCAAGGCGAAACTCAATCAAAAGTAAATACCTTCCTTCCTTCATATCTTCCTTCAACAATGTGAACAGATCATTCAATTTCGGGTGGTTTTAGGTTTAAAAATTTTTTCTTCATGATTGTTCCCACGAGTAGCGCAGGAAAAGGTCGGTTCATCCCTGTAGAGCCTGGCATACAGGGATAAGGCAGTCTTCCCCGCCGGGTTACCCGGTCCGGCGGGCATCGCTAGAGACACACTTTGTCCCCTGTGCCATGCATCCTATCGACGCGATGGAGTTACATCTTAGGATTGGGGTGACCCTGCCAGTAGCAACGCTACCTGTTGGTGTTTCTGATGATTGAGTTGGGGGAAATTCCAGAATTCATGAAATGAATATTATACATTATATAGTGGGTATTATATGATGTATATTATGTATTGAATCATAAATTATACATGCAAACATGTTGTGTCTCAGTTTCTTTTCTCATTTTCATGTAAGTTTTGCAATTTATCTATCACTGAAGGATCTGAAAATGGATATAGTGTAACAAACTTTTTTTGCTTCAGCCCCGTCATATATTTGGAAATTATTTCATTTTATGAAAGGTATATGAATAAAAAAAACAAACTTTTTCAATAGTCTTCTGTCATGGTTAATATTAGGCAAGTGTGTATATGTTATTGAAAACATTTATTCTGAATCAGATACGTGTCAGTATCCTGTAATGTACTATTCAATTATGAATATGCAATAACTTCATCGATATTGGTGTATAGGCTAAAAGGGTAACGAATTCAAAATATCACTGAATCATCCAGAAAAATATTTTTTTCATATATTAGTATTTTCATTTATGCCATAAACAGTGAATTCACTGTTACCGCATATCCATTTTAGGCTTTTTAGAAACAAATCAAAATTGATAGTTTGATTTTCGAAAAACCCTCATTTTGTTATTGATATGATGACAACAATGAGATCAATATTACTATTTTAAATAATGTTCACTTCAATTGCAATGGTATCAATCCAACCTTCAGCCAATTACATATCATCTTCAGAAAAATGAATATTTTTCTGGATATATCTACTGGTTTTGAAGATGGTTTAGCGAACCCATTCAAATGAAATTCACATCAAAATTAAATGTTTATTACAGTATAAATAGAAATGGGTATAATATACAGGCATTTTCATACCATAAAGTATTGAAAAATACTGAAATATTCAGTCAGTTCGTCGTTTCAATAAAAATGATGATGTTGATATGTGAAATATGCTGCATTCAAGTTAAATTAACTATTTCTTCTCGTTATTTTTTTTTCTTTATGAAATCATGTTTTGGAAGAGACTTTCACAATAAGTATCGCACATTAAAAGACATCGTTACAGGTAAATCATATTTTCGAAACAAAGTAAGCGAACATCATTGAATCCACTGTAGTATTTTGTATATTTTAGAAAGTTCAGGAAAAATCACTCTTTCAATTTTTTAGGAATATTTTCATGATTACTTCACCCATCTATAATTATTTTAACATATATTCATTGACATCATATTGAATTACAAAATTGTCAGTTATGCATTATATCAGATTCTGTATTTTGTTTGAATAACTTTGAGGAAAATATTGACATTTGAAAAAATAATTCACTGGAAAATTTTAGGTTCAGTGCTGGTCTTCGCTCCAATTCATTTCAGTATTATGAGAAACGCCTGATATCTTTAGTAATTTTATTTCTTTGAAACTAGTTTTTATTGAGCAATAAAACAATATTGTGATGCGCTATGTAAATAAACAACCCAAAAAATTATTAGAGCACTCACCATTGAATCCATGGCTGCTGCACATCGCGTCTCTGCATCAGATCCATCTTTATCACGGACTAAGACATAAATTCGTTTGACTTGAAACGACCTCAAAATTTTTTCTAGAACAAGTTTTCCTAATAAACCTGTTATTCCCGTCAAAAAAAATGTTCGGTTTTTGTAGAATTGTTGGATTTCGGTCAGTTCCACATTCGACTCCATTTTTGCTTGACGCACAAAAAATTGTTAGCGAACGGAGGATTGAATATATTCAACGATTGTATGGAAAACAGGAGGTCAAGTATTATGGAAATAATTCAATGGATCAGGTCGACTTCGTGTTTATAATAGACTTGATATAGAAAATGTAATGACTAATAAATTTGAGAATCATATGCGACTGAAATTAAGTATGATTTTCAAAAATATGATTTTACCAGTTCGAAGTAATTGTACATCCAGGGAATATTTGAAATGAAGCTGATCAACTTCAAAATAATTTGGATAGATATAAATAACAAGAAAATAGACTGGCAAAATATTGGAATCAGGCTTTGAATCAGATGCTTTTCTCGAGAGACACTTAGCCTTGTCTGTAACGAATGTCTGTAATGAAGTGTTAGCATTTTCAGAAATGCTAACGCTTCATTGTGAAATTTACATGGAACAGTTTAAAACCACAATACGTACCTATTTGGCTATAAATTACCTTTCTCAGGTGTGTTCAAACCTGGTTTTGGCTATATTGCTTCTGTTATTTTTCAGTATTTTGTATCTCTCCTGGTCTCGATTCAGTTAAAAATAATTGTGGTTTTATGTTTCATGAATGTTTTTTTCAAACATTGATTATTCGTAGAATGCAGTAAATTTTCACAAAGATGAGAGTCTGCTCATATCTGAAATGTTATCAAACTCGTAACCATTTGTCCTTCAAAATTCTGAGTCCTCAATCCAATTATTATTTTTTTCCAGTTTGTTGGATCTTCTGGCATCACAAGAGATGTTTCCTTTGGTAGAAATACATTAGGTACTATTCGACTATAATTGTTGTTTCCGGTATTTTGGATAATGAAAGCTGAGAGGAATGAATATAGTAGACCACCACTTCAAGTTCAGTAACTGATCTGACAGCTAACACATTTATGTTCTAACACCATGGACACACATAATATTATTCACTTTCTTTTGGCGCCATGGTTTGGAAAACCCTGTATAATATTAATTGCCTTCATTTCTCACACAAATTGTACCCTATATATTTATGACCATGAGCTGATTAACAGGAGAAAATGGCGGGGTTCATTTCATTTTATAGTTGTCATTATATGTTATATTATTATGTCATGTTGTATTCTGCCAACTTCTAGTTTAATATGATCATAACAATTCAATCACCAAAATAGGTTTTCTTTTATGGAAGATAATGGAATATTGTAAATTTTCGTTATGTGAACACCCGGCGATTTTGAAAAAAAATTTTTGACTGTACTTACGTATTTTGATGCGTAGATTACGAATCCGAAAGAAAAAAGCGGCGCTCTCCCTTATTTAAAAAGTTACGGCCCTTCAAAGTTCAGAAAAGGGCAAATTTTCAGCTTTCTTTTTCACTAAATAAACTGTTTAAAAACACAAGCATTTATTCACTAGGTCACCTTTACACCTTATTCCTCCTTCTTTAACACGTTTCACTTCAATAATCAACATTGGCTCTGACAACAGAGCAAAATCAGAATGATTTCTTTAGGTGTAAAGGTAACCTACTGAATAAATGCTTGTGTTTTTAAATAGTTTATTTAGTGAAAAAGAAGGCTGAAAAGTTGCCCTTTTCTGAACTTTGAAGGGCCGTAACTTTTTAAATAAGGGAGAGCGCCGCTTTTTTCTTTCGGATTCGTAATCTACGCATCAAAATACGTAAGTACAGTCAAAAATTTTTTCAAAATATCCGGGTGTCCACATAACGAAAATTTACCACCAGATATCTCCCATTATTTTCGGAATGATCAGTGAGTACAAAGACTTCAAATCAGCTATTGGTGTACTTGACGAAGTCTATGTCGAACCCAAAAACGAAATTTTTGCCCGAATTCCGGTTGGAGAAACTGTCGACGAATATCTTCAAGCACCGAAACAATTGTCGAAAGAATGCTACTTCAAGGCTCTGACAACAGAGCAAAATCAGAATGATTTCTTCATCGCCGGTTTTCACTCTGCCAGTATACGATAGTGATTACTTGAAAATGTTACTCTCGAGTTAAATAAAGCTTTTGATAAAGCTCGACCTCTGGAGATGGCTCAGCTGAATTCTAAAAGTTTTTCATTGCCATCCTCGTCAATAAATCCATCATCCAGTCATTCTGATATTGCCGTAAATACCGCTTCTAGTAAATTCGAATGAAATGAATGTTTTTTCTGTCACAATGAAAAAGACGCAAGAAACCAATGCCCAGCTTTAAGAGCGATATGTAAAAACTGATTGAAGGAAGGACATTTCGGCTGAAGTGTGCCGAATTAGAAGAGCGGAAAGTAGAACAGTAGTGGCTAGTGGAGAAACAGTTGGTTGCTTATTTTCGGCCACTTCGCCCAGCTGCTTCAGTAAAGCCACAGTACCAATTACTATCAATGGATATGAGCCTCCAGGGCTCATTGATACCGGAAGCACATCTAGCTTCATCAGTAAGTTCATTGTTTCTCGTTATAACATGCAAAGAATACCTTCTAATATGAAGATCAATATGGCTTCTTCAAACCATGTGTCACCAGTGGAAAAAAGTTGTATAGTGATAAATCATCTATAAAAACATATCAAACTACTAATTCTGGATAATCTTTGTACTGACATTATACTTGGACATGATATTCTCGAAGATCACTCTGCAATTGATGTTAATTTGGCTGGACCATAGACTTCTATCAAAATTTGCAATTCAAACCAGGGGTCAGTCCCATCGGCTACTCTTCTGCATCGAATTGGAAATTCAAAGACTTCTCTCGAAAAAAATTATTGACAGAAGTAAATCCCCTTAGCGAGCACAAGTTCTGGTTACAACCAATGCCAATCATAAGAAGCGTAACCAATTATTCTCAGACTACAGATAGATTTACGGAGCTTGATGCATACCCACTTCCAGACATCCAAAATAAAATATTCTTTCTGAAGTTGCGAAATATAAAGTGTTCAGTAGTGTTGATTTTCAGAGTGCTTATCATTAAATACTAATTTCTGAGAATGAAAGATCCTATACAGCATTTGAAGCATTTGGAAATTTATTTCAGTTTCTGAGAGTTCTGTCTGAAGTAACCAACGGAATTTCTTCCTTTAAGCGAGCAATATATACAATCATAAGGAATGAAGAATTATAAGGAACTTTTGCCTACCTAGATGATGCCACTATTTGTGGGAAAGATAAGGATGAACGTGACAAAAATATTTTGCCATTCATAAATATTGTGAAGAAATACAATCTCACCATCAATGAATCCAAATCAAAATTTTCACAAGAATCTATTGATCTTCTAGGATATACGACAAAAGCCGTACTGTAAACGTCTTGAGCCTCTTCTAGATTTGCCACCACCTATAGATCAGCAAAAACATTGAAAAAATACAGCCGCCTATTCAAGTGTCTGAAAGGAGTCATCGCAACATCCATGATGACAGCCATTGAAGGAAACGTCTCATTCACAGTTGAAATAGATGCTTTAGATTTTTCAATAGCTGCTTCACTTTAACAAAATGGAAAGCCTGTTGCATTCTATTCGAGAACAACTTCCGAAAGTGAGAAACAGCATTCAGATGTAGGAAAAGAAGCTCATTGAAGCTCTCAGAAAATGGAAATATTAACTTATTGGAAAAATTTTAGGCTAATCGCCGACCCAAAATCAGTGTCGTTCATGTTCGACAATAAACATATAGGAAAAATCAAGAATAACAAAATTCAGAGATGGCGTTTGAAACTATCAAGTAAGCGACACGATATCATACACCGACCTACAAAAGACAATGACATAGTCGATGCATCATCGAGAGTCTATGCTAGCGCATAGCAGAGACTTGTCAGAGCTCTTCAATATCCATCAATCTCTTTGTCTCCCAGGTGTTAGTCGAATGTCCCACTGGATACTTTCAAATAATCTATGAATCTATGAAGGAAATAAAGAGAATAACGTCAACATGTACTGTTTGCGCCGTTTCAACAAAACACAAGGTCAATTAATTAAAGCAACTGTACCATTCGAAAGATTCCAAAGTATTATTACCGTCTACATAAAAAAATCTATACCTGTTAACAGTAGAAGACGAATACTCAAGATTTCCATTTGCTTTCCCAAGTTCTGACTTATCCACAGCAACTATTACTAGACGTCTCATGATGGTTTTCTCGCTATTTGGATTACCTAGTTATATCCATTCTGATCATGGTTCTTCATTTATGTCCTCAGAACTTAAAGGATTCTTTCAATCGAAGGGCATTGCCACAAGTCGAACTACAGCATATAGTCCTCAAGGCAATGGCCAATGTGAACGAGTGGATGGAATTATTTGGAAAACAGTTGAGTTGGCTTGTCAATCCAGAGGATTGAAAATATCCCAGAGAAAATCAGTGTTGCATATCTACAGTGTTGCATATCCACATGAACGGATGTTTTTACATTATTGAAAATCTGCTAATTGAAAATCAATGCCTTCGTGGCTAACAACTCCTGGAACTGTCTTCATGAAAAGACATACACGAACTAACAAATATGAGCCCCTAGTAAAAGAAGTCGAATCGCTTGAATCAAATCCAGATTATCCGATGGCACGGAAATAACTGTTTCGAACAAACATTTAGCACTACGAGGTGAGAGGAGGTATCTGGAACAAACTGTCCCTAATTTTCATTTTACTCCAATCAAATGAAAATGATACTGAATATTGTTGGAACATACAAAGCCCTGTAGATGATATAAAGAGAACAAATCAATTAAGGCCAATAACATCATCTGTGGAGACACATTCCAGAAATACAAAAAGAATCAGAAAACCTCTTACATATTTGGATGACTACGATCGTTCTTGAAAGGTGAGGAAAATGTGATGAAAATTATATACAGTGCCTTCATTCCAAAACTTTCCACCCCTAGTACTTCGTTTGGCAGGGAAAACACTTCAATTTAGATATGGAGGGGACGTTTGAAATCAGTGCCAGTGGTATTTTAGGTTCAACCCCCTTACCCCTAGCTACCCCCACTTAATAATTTTAAATGACACCTCCTATCTTGTAACACATCATTTTGAAGACCAATGTTCACCATTGGTAGCTAAGCAAAAGTACAATCTATTCTCGAATTCCTGTCGGACCTTTGTAAATGTTTCGTTATTAATTTGTCTGCATGTGTCAGTAATCCTGTGTCTTAGATCCTGAATGTCCTGCGGAAGAGTTTTGTATACCATTGTCTTCAAATAACTCCAGAGAATGGCGGTGAATCCGGAGATCTCGCCGGCCATTCCAGAACGCCTCTTCTGCCAATCCATTTGTCAGGATACCGTCAATCGAGCCACTGTCGGACATGCAATGCGTAGTGTGGCGGTGCTCCGTCCTGTTGAAAATGTAAGGACCGTGTTACGAGTGGATCCATTACATTTTCCAATAAGTTTAAATACAATTGACCAGTTGAATTTTTCTTCAATACAAATAGGGCCAATTATTTCGTTTCCCAGAATTCCAGCCCAGACGTTTATTTTTTGTGGATATTGCGTATGATCCTCTCGAAACAAGTGTGGATTTTCATCATCCCAGTATCTACAGTTATGTTTATTTATAAAGCCATTAAGAAAAAGAGTTGATTCATCACTGAAGCAAATATTTTTTATTAAATTCAGGTCATTTTGAATTCTCGCAGTGATTATTTCACAAAATTCAATTCTCCTATCATAGTCATCCTCACTGAGTTGCTGAAGAATACTCATACTCAAGGAAAGAACTTGTTCAGTTTTAAAACTTTGTGTGTAGAACCAACTGAAATATTTACTAATTTAGCGGCTTTCGAAATTGAAGTAGTAGGCTCAACGGCGAATTGGCATATTTTTGAACAAGGTCTAGAACTTATCGGTGGCTCACATTTTGGCCTACATGCCTTTCATTGAAAACCCAGGTTGTCCTACGAGCATACCATCTTCAGCACCATAAATAAAAATAATTTGAGTTCTTTTTTGTAAATTGTACACCAATATGATTTGTATTACTGTCAGTGTCAGTGTAACTGACACCACTTGACAAACAGTTTAAAATCAGGAATAACTAATTCTGATAAAAAATTTTCACCAATTGATTCTAACTGACGTCAAGAAGCAACTGTGTGCCCTCATCTCACTTTCAGCTAAAGCAAAAAACTCTGTGTAGAAAAGAGACATAAACATACCTTTATTGAGTCAGTGGTAGCGGTTCCATAAATTTTTGCATTTTGTTATAATTCATTTTCTTTTTGCCCTATTTTACGAGAACGTATCAACCAATTTCAGTTTTCTAAACGGGGTTGAGTGAGGATTTTTAAGATATTTAAAATGATGTGTTACAAGATACGGGGTGCCATTCAAAATTACTAAGTGGGGGTAGCTAGGGGTAAGGCGGTTGTTAAACCTAAAATGCCACTGGCGCTGGTTTTTAACTTCTCCCTCGATATCTAAATTGACGTATTTTTTGCCTACGGCAAATTCTCCCTACTAAACGAACTACTAGGGGTGGGAAGTTTTGAAATGAAGGCACTGTATGCAATCGATCGCTTCAAAAATACTTCACTAACTTTCTTCGAAGGCTTCTGATAATTTACAAAAAGTTATTAGAGCATATAATTAAATCAACGTAAATTAAATGATTGGAACGAGAAAATAACTTTTTAAAAAGAATTTATTTTACAAACTAGAGACGACTGTCTCTTACGAGAGCTACAAACAGAATGATTATTAATATAATGTTAACTGGATGCTAACTGCATGTCGAGATAAGGGATTCCTGGAATATCTCTTACTCAGCTGAATCTCCGTGTGAATGGCCGTGTCGTGGGAACTATGACCACGTAACTCGTAAAACAATTCCAACTACAAATGTATACTGTAATATAGCAATATTTAGATAGACTAGTAAATTGAATCCCAAAACGAATGACTATTTGCAGATTAAAAAAGGAATCTGCTATTTCATTTAAAAAATTCTTAGCAAGCCTTAAATTGGCGCAATATAAACGAAATATAGGATCTTGTCGAGAGGTTTGATTGTAGTAGCAGTAGTAGTATAGTCGAAGTAACTGATATAGTAATTCTTAAAGCTATCGCCGAACTCAAAGGTCAAAAAATCCAATACAAAGAAATAATGCCGCTACGAATTATTCCACGTTGACTGAACAACTGGCGGTTCGTATTGGATAATTTTCACTAACTGAGTTTTATGATTGGCTGAAGAGTCATAAAATTGAATTTGAAGTCATGTTACGGTAACCAATAGAATGTAGCGATGAGTACCGCCATTGTGTTGTCAACGTTCAGTTCAGGAACTGATCGCGATTTGAGTGTTGATAATCGATCTTGAGTCCAATTTTGTTTTTACTATATGTTAATGACAAGACGATGCTTGACATTTCAGGAAATGTCACCCTGTTCGCCGATGATACCACTATACTATCGCTTAAAGATAAGGAAGCTGATCTTCATCATATCATCAATTCAGATATAATTAAAGTCCGGGAGTGGTGCGAATCGAATCTTTCATTCTTCAACATATTGAAAACCAAGATAGTGTTCCTCGAATGTGCAGTTGCTGATATTTCTTTAAACCGCCCGACTATTGAAAACAGTGTGTTTTCTCAATTTCTAGGACGACTAGACATTGACAACATGTCATGAACATGTCAAAAACTATCATATACCTTCTATTGTTTGTTATCTTTAAAATAAGTGATGGATTGATTTTATTCAATTCAATTTTATACGGTAGTGACTATTTTTATACATTTATCAAATGTTATTAATTCAATTCAATTTACATTTATAAATACATGCTTCGTCAACAAGATGTTATTCTTTGATAATATAGCACATTTTGATTGATTGATAAGAACCTGGTTTGACAATAATCTTCCACAAAACTAAACACAAACAAAACTAATTTGCTAACCTTCAGATGTAAATTGGAGACCGTTATATTGGATTCAAGTAATATTAACAAGTATCCCTGCACAAAATTCATATTGATGATAGCTCGACATTTACTGAACATGCTGAAAAACTGTCTGAAAAGTGCTGAACGCTATGCCATCAGTCATAAATGAGGAAGTAGGTTTAGCGGCTGCAAAATATGCCTACCATGAATTAATTACAATTCCAGTGGAACATTTTCGTTCATTATTTCATTCATGAAAAGTGTTGTATTCTTATTTGCAATACAAGACCAAGAAACATCAGTATGAGACAGTAGCATCTAAGTATGTGAGCCCTATATTATGACCTATCCCAACTGATGACTTTATAATAAATGTGCCTTTCAATTCATTTATTATGCATATACAATATAGCTTCTTTCAAATTTCGCTTGTAGGTACATCCCGTAAATCAAACTATACCTATATTACAAAATAAAAAGAACCATGGCAATCGCATTAAGTTTATCACATAATGTAGCCCAAAATTCAAAATATATATCTGTATTCGTGAATTCATGGAATCATTCATTTACTGTTTTTTTATGTTTTATATGCGACCTCGCAAAATCTCCAAGCGATATAACGGGGTGATTTTCGTGTACCTAATAATATTCATTATCTTACGTAGTTGTTTTCAATAGTTTTCGATCCGTTTGAATTTATGCATTTTTACTTATTTCTTTCTTTCCACATTACCAGAAAAAAAGGAAGCAAAAATTTATTAAATCATCATCTTCTGAAAATACTTCTTCTTTCGGTACCAATGAAATGAAATTTCGAAACATTCATGTCATCCCGTGAACTTAGCCCCAAAAACGGATAACAAACATCATATATTTGTGCCTATACTATATCAGAAATCAAAATGAGTTTGAAGACTGTATCGAAAAGAGACACATAAGTATAAGAAGTACGTGTTTTGCTGCAGTCATTCAACATTAGCCACTGTGTAGGTAGATATATTGAGAGAGATAAATTTTTCGAGATTTTATTTCGAAATATTCATTTTCATATATGTATGTATCCCTCATCAATACAATCTTCGGACTTATTTGGATTTTGTTTGATATTCTGATCCATTCAAGAGCTGAAGTCTGTTAGTCCTCAGGTTGAGAAAACGACATCATAATACAATGAAACAATCGTAATACTCAATCATAAGAATTTATTCACATCACATATTCATATTTCCTCTTGGTTCTTTTCCATTCAGAAATCGGTTTGGAGGGGGCGAGATATACTAGAGTAGCTGGGGTTCCGGAGAAAGGAGAGAACAAAAAGTTTCTGACACGTTCTTTATGGCTCAACAACAATAGACTCAAAAACTTCCAAAATCTGAATGATCTGGTAGAAGTTGTTCTAGAGTTTCCTGCTAAGCTTGGCTGGATAGATTTATCATTCAATCGCATATCTGAAATAGATCAGGTGAAGTAAAATTCTTTGAAACGTTATGGAACCGTTAATTTGCGAAATAGATCAAATATGGAGCATAAAGACAAACATTCTTTGACTCTATCATCATGCATTATTGATCTACTATTTTTTGAATTGTAACTCTACCATTAATTTTGATCTACTCCGCATAATTAACGATATTGTTGTAGATGATATCTGGGATTGAATTTTCTGTTTTTCATTTCAGTGTATCCTCAAGTTTCCATCTTTGAAGATTTTATATTTCCATGGCAACTGCATTTCAGAATTGGACCAGGTTTATAAACTAAGACCTTTGAAACAACTGAGGAGCATTACTTTCCATGGAAATCCTATTGCTAATCATCCGAACTACAGATCTTACATAGTTTCTGTACTGCCACAGGTTATTTATTTCAATTATCGTGTCTAAAAACGGCTTCGAAAGATCAGAAACGTAAATTGAGTCAACCGTAGTCGAAGATATCGCGGTTCCTAAAAAGTGTCGGGTCATACATTTGATAAACAGTATCACTGTTAAAAATTATGGAGACGAAATATGAATAAATATACAGGGTGAGATGGTGAAACCCCACTCTTTGCGGTGTGAAATTGAAACGTTTTCCATAGAAAACGGTATTGTAAAATCTGACAAAAAACGACAGTAGGTTTCAGTATTATCCAGCTAGCTAGGTTTCGATTTATGATAATTGCATTGGATACAATTCAGTATTACCTTTTCTAGAATCCGATGCTGTTAATCAAGAACTGAACGCAGTTTGTGTCGATATTCCTTTGAAAATTCCACTCATCAACATTCAGTAATGCATTTATTTCAAACGTAAAGTCGGTCATCTTGTTGAGCTGGGCGTTGTCATATCGAATCCTTGATAATCTATCGACTTCAGCATAATCTGGTTCGTATACAGGGTGATTCAAAGGTACTTTGACAAACTTCAGGAGGTGATTCCTCACAATATTCTTATATGAATTGTACAGATAAAAAAATGTCCGGAAACGCTTCGTTTCCAAGATACAGGATGTTGAAGTTTTATTTTTATTTTCGTTTTTTTCAAATAACTTTTGAAATACTGAACTTAATTAAACGAAACTTGGTAATAGGAGGTTTTTGAGGTGTCGAATTCGAACCTGATGTTCTTATTGCTCCTACTCGTAGGAGGTGCCACCTACACGTCTTTTTCTTTTTTAAAGATTCATAACTTTTTTGGGCGTACTTCTAGCACATTTTTCAGTAAAAAAATCTATTCCTCTATCATGTCTACGTAAATAAGCTACCCTTGTTACTAGTCGCTGTAAGCAACCGTTTTCTAAATATTTGGACTTGAAAACTTCAAGTCGATTATTTGATAATCGATGCATGTTGAAGTTATTACGAATATTTTGCTTTTTTCACAAGAATGCTTTGGAAATGAATTTGACGTTTTACTCGTTTGAAGAGGTCATTACTGTTGGGTACGTTCCTTTATGACATCCTTAAGCGAAATAGTTATTTTTGTATCAAGGGTGCGTATTCAGTATTTGTTTTAATAAAATTTGCAAGAAATGTCAACATTTTATTTCAGGAAATTTTGAATATGTAGAATACACTAAAATAAACGAAACTGAATTGTATTCAAATAAATTGTTGGAAGTGTCCACCTTCAGCGAAGATACAGGCAGTCAGTCGTCTAGTCATTGAATCTCGAACCCGCTCAAAAATTATTGGTGTGTTTCTTATTGTTTCACAGGCGTCTACTATTCGGTTTCTTAGATCTTCCTCGTTCACTACTGGAGTCTTATAAACTAGTGACTTCCAATATCCCAAAAATAAAAATCTATCGGGTTTAGATCTGGGGACCTTCGTGCCCACGTCTGGTTAGGTTCTTCTACACCCCTACCGATCCGTCGATTTGGATAGACTGTGTTAAGGAATTCCCTGGCTACAACGCTAAAATGGGCCGGAGCCCCATCATGCATAAACCACATGCAAATACGAATTTCTAATGGTACATTCTGAAGTAGTCCCGGAAATTCATTTTCTAAAAAGTGTCTCCAAGTTGCGCCATTCAGTCGGAGCGGAAGAAAGAAAGGACCTATCAAGTAATTATCAATTATTGCCGCCCATACATTTACGGAAAATTGATACTGATGATGCCTTTCACTAACTGCGTGCGGATTTTCGAGAGCCCAAACATGGTTGTTATGAAAGTTTGTGATAGCATTTCGGGAGAAGTTTGCCTCGTCCGTGAAGAGTACATATCTTAAATATTGAGGATTTCCAGCCAATTTTCTCAAAAACCATTGACACATAGTAATGCGTTGAGGAAAGTCTCGTGGCAAAAGAGCTTGTACTCTCTGAATATGGTATGGATAAAACTGTTGATCGTGGATAATTCTCCAAACTGTGGACTGAGTAGAATTGACAGCTTCAGCAATTACTCTTGTGCTTGTTTCTGGATTCTCCTCGAGAGCGTTCAAAACAGCTTCTTTCAATTCTGGGGTTCGGACTGCCCGTGGTCTTTCAATAATATCAGCTGCCCTCTTAAAGCTACCTGTTTCTGTCAAACGACGGTGGAGACTGGCAAATGTTGGAGCTGAAGGCAGTACTCGATTAGGAAATCGCCTCTGGTAAATGCGTCTTGCTTCGCGCGCATTGTCATCCGCAAGGCCATAAACAAAATGCATCCATTTTTTCAAAATAAGTGTTTTCTACTTCTACTTACGGAAACTTCAACAAAACGTCTGTCACAAAATATGTAATTACCAAAACTACTCACAAACGTCAAATTCATTTCCAAAGCATTCTTGTGAAAAATGCAAAATATTCGTAATAACTTCCACATGCATCGAATATCAAATAATCGACTTGAAGTTTTCAAGTCCAAATATTTAGAAAACGGTTGCTTGCTTACAGCGACTAGTAACAAGGGTAGCTTATTTACGTAGATATGATAGAGGAATCGATTTTTTTTACTGAAAAATGTGTTAGAAGTACGCCCAAAAAAGTTATGAATCTTCAAAAAAGAAAAAGACGTGTAGGTGGCGCCCCCTACGAGTAAGAGCAATAAGAACATCAGGTTCGAATTCGACACCTCAAAATCCTTGTATTATCAAGTTTCGTTTAATTAAGTTCAGTATTTCAAAAGTTATTTGAAAAAAACGAAAATAAAAATAAAACTTCAACATCCTGTATCTTGGAAACGAAGCGTTTCCGGACATTTATTTATATAGACAATTCATATTAGAATATTGTGAGGAATCACCTTGTGAAGTTTGTCAAAGTACTTTTGAATCACCCTATATATTGGTTTGCTGGGCCCGTTTATATTTTTGAATCCGTTTTTGCTTCCACGAAACCTTGAAGATGAAATATACTTACATTTGATACGAAACACTTTTGATCCCGCATCAACTGACCTTTTTTAACACAATAATGACCGCTCAATAAAAATAAATTAACATGTTAATAAGATGGGACAACTGTACAGAGTGGACACTTCCAAAAGAAAACTCCTGTTTTTAAACTAGATAGATGAATACTGATAGCTGTGTCTGAAGGTCAAATTTTATGACAAGCACAATGGTGAGAACCGCATATCTATCATCATTTCTGAGTTACATGTTTTTCGATAATGTGCATTTTCGAAAAGTTGCTGGTGTCAAAAATTTATTATTTCAATGAAAATTCCCAAATCACTTTTAACGTAGAAGTCAATGGTGTGAAAAACTAATTTTTTTTAATGAGATATCAATAGTTATTGATGGAAAACTAATTTTTTGTAATGAGACACTTCCAAAAATGTAGCACACTTGATGTTTCGCTAGAGTCATGTTTGATATAGGTACGGAACTTTCACACACATTTTGAACAAGTAGGCTTTGGACGATGCGGCGATAAAACAATGCAAATTTCTACTGATAGCTGTTAAGTTTTGATTTAAGCAGTAAAGCCACTCTTGGTTTTTATTCAATTTTAAAACACATTTGCAATGAAATATGAGAATTATGAAAAATGGAATATGATAGTCTGTTTTATACAAACTGGGGAAAACGCAGAAACAGCATGCAATTTGTATCACGACAGATATCCAAAGAGAAGATACCCTTTTAGAGAAATTTTCGCGAGATTGCGACACAACCTAATTGATGGTGGTCAATTTGAAAAAAAAAAGCCAACATTTTATGAATCAAACAGGGATAAGGAGCTGTTGAAAATGATCCCAAAACATCAACGCGGAATTTGAAAATATCAACAGGCCTACTAAGAACTAACGTTAGGAGGATTTTGGAAAAACACAAATTCAAGTCATACAGGACCAAAAGAGGTCATCAACTCGGACCAGGCGATTTTGAACGCTGCAGGGCTTTTCGCCAGTGATTCTTGGAAATTCGCAACCAAGTGCATGATTTTTCGTTAAATTGTATTTGGACAGACGAAGCTCATGTGAACAGTGCCGGCATTTTTAACCGCTACAATTCTTATACTTGGGCACGACAAAATTTTCGGTAAATATTCGTTTTGAGGCCACACGGCAATTTTGAAAAAATTTTTGGGTGTACTTACGTATTTTAATGCGTAGATTACGAATCCGAAAGAAAAAAGCGGCGCTCTCTCTCATTTACAAAGTTATGGCCCTTCAAAGTTCAGAAAAGGGCAACTTTTCAGCCTTCTTTTTCACAAGATCACTATTTAAAAATACAAGCATTTATTCACTAGGTCATCTTAACACTTTATTCCTCCTTCCTTGACACTTTTCACTCCAACAACCAACATTGTTCCAATGAAAATGTTAAAAAATGTACGGAGCTGCTTTTTGGTTAAGTATATATCTTGTATTTTGCGTTTTTAAGGTTAATGGCATAGTTGGTAGGTACGACTGATGCTGTCAATATTCCTATGTATTTTTCTAATCACTCACGTCAAACTAAAAATCCAAATCTACGAATTTGAAATAGTAGGCAGCGGTAAATACCAACCACTTTTTTCTGAAATGTCACTAGTAACTGACCTAGAAATAGAAGAATGTCACCAGAAGAAGCATTTGTTTTTAAATCAAGTTTTTTATAAGAAAAATGTTGATTATTGAAGTGAAAAGTGTTAAAGAAGGAGGAATAAGGTGTAAAGGTGACCTAGTGAATAAATGCTTGAGTTTTTAAATAGTTTATTTTAGTGAAAAAGAAGGCTGAAAAGTTGCCCTTTCCTGAACTTTGAAGGGCCGTAACTTTGTAAATAAGGAAAAGCGCCGCTTTATTTTTTCGGATTTGTAATCTACGCATCAAAATACGTAAGTACACTCAAACATTTTTTTTTAATCTCCGAGGGCCCTCAAAACGAATATTTACCAAATTTTCATTCTATTGTGGAAAAGAGAAGTCGAGGGAGATTTTGATTTAGTGTGTGGACTGGTGTTTATTCCAAAATCACTATAATTACTCAATTATTGAAACATTATCGATTCACCGTACATGAAAAAATTGATTGCTTTCCAATATTTTACTTATTTTTGTGAAGTGGTTCATTTTTCATTACATTTTAATGATTCAAATATAATTTCAGATAGCTAACTTGGATTTCACACCAGTCGTCGCAACAGAAAGAAAATTTCTCTCACCGAAAGAAGCACTGAAGAAAGGTAAAGAAGTGAATAAAAGTCCACAGAGAAAACCTGAATAATCTAGAAAGACGGTGAACCTGAACAACTGACATCAAATTTAGTTTATAATTCCAAAATATACTTTTTCACAATTCTCATTTCATTTAATAGATTCAATTACATATAAGAATTTGAGAGATTCGACCCTCCATTATCCTTAAAGTTTTACAGGGTTGAAATCTAACCGAAGTGAACTTGATAAAACAAAATTATGTAAAACTTGAATATTCAAGTTTTTTCACTGATTCGGCCGTTACTTGATGAAGATCTATAGTAATTTAGAATAGTAATAAACTACACCTTACGATTTGAATTTCACAAACTTTATTTTTCAAAATTATCACGATATTGTCAAAAGCCAAATTGTCAAAAATACTAATTTCTGAAAATATTTTATTTACCAAATTTATAGCCTCGATGCACAGCACTGTAATTATCGATACAATAAAAGTTCATTTACTTAAATATAGTTATGATATTCGGCAATTAGCGATAATGCAATAATGCTGATTGGCAATATTAGACTTCGACCTAAAATCGGGAACATGAGTGTCGATTCGGCTGCCACCTTCTGAAGGGAACAGATCCATCACTCCTGAAAATGTACCTTCGGTAAGTGTACCTGTTATTTCATATTGTTGGCCCTTTAGATTATATTTTTGAAAAAGCGTAACATTGTTGAGGGCTATGTTGTACTTTCATTTCAATAAACATAGTATTTTCTACCTATGATTATTATTCCTATGTAAATCCTACCATCTGAGTTAACCCCCAACTCACGAGCCATTTGGTCGTGGAGACCAAATCGTAGCTAAGGTGTAGTTCATGAAATTAAAATATTCAGAAAGTTGGATTCTACTTTCATGTTAGATATTTGAATGAGGTGCTTTGTTTTAAAGTATGTCATTCATTTTGAAACAATACATTGAATTTCAGTGTATCTTGAAATTTTACGACGAATTTTCTCATTTTATTGTCTTTTTCGGCGGAATAATTTCAATTCGAAACTCTTTCGAATTCAGTTGATCTTTCTTTCTCTTGCACTGACAAGTTTGTAGAACAAATACATTTTGAATTCGAGCAGGAGAAACTTGAAATATTGAGGTAAGAAACTCAACTTTTCAATTAGTATGACGTGTGACCCCCACTTGTATAATATCCATGCAGTAATGTGCAAGCGAAAAATTCAGTAAATTCAAATTGATAATATCTGCAGTCAATAGGAATTTCAGCAACAGATACAGCTATAGCAAAGTTATACCAGTGTAATATTTGCTGGCAGAATTTAAAAATGTGAAACAATATTGAGGTTCGATTTATCGGAATGGAATTAGTGAATAAAGTCCTACAGAAGTATATATTTCTCAGGGGGGAAAGAATTTATTATAGAGTTTACAAGAATCCCTGTGAAAAAACTACAAAATGTTTATCAGATTAAATTTTGTGAAATTATATGTATATTTTGTAAAGTTGCAGATGGAAATATAACATCTGGAAACGTCACACGGATCGAATTATGAGAAATTAATATTAATAAAATTCCACCAATAATAAATCAATAGTGACAAGATGATTTTTTAGTAAATCATAGTATTTGAGATATAAACAGGGCCGACAGTGAGTAGTAGTGTTCCAAAAGTGTCTCTTTGAAACCTGTTAAATACTAGTCTGAAGTTATCGAAAAATATCAAACCTTCATCAACAGCCGTGTAAACAAGGTTGGTATCTATGAACACAATTTTTTATGAAGGTTAGCAATCGTGAAGGATATTATTTACCTATTTTGTGTGAATTTATATCGAATCAAACTGAAATAACTCGTTAACCTTGAAATCGAACTGAGATTAAATGTGCGTGCGTATTTGAATCTAATTTAACAAACCTAATCACCTGAGACCATCAACAGCCGTTAGCTACGGTTAGTTCTGACCGAGAATACCTACCACAGAGAAGCGGCATTAACGTCGGATCCTTTGATGTTCGGTGTCCCAACTCCGAACCGAAGATTTTGAGTGATAAACAACCTGGTTCACTGAGAAAAATGACCTCTCAGCGATATACACTTATAAAAATACATACTCTCACGTTCTAGTATAGTACGTGGGCTCACTGTGAAATATAAAATTATAGTGTGAAGGGCATCTTACTCCATTCAATTTTTATCCGAAACAAGTTCCTGGCCAGATTCTGCCAGATCCTACGCCAACCGCTGAAATTCCAACTCCTGATGATGTACAACTACCACGTATATACTTCTGTGATTTTTCTTATTTCGANGACTTGGATCAAAAATATAAACAAGTTTTTTACCACCGAGCTCAAATTCAGATTCTTCTAAAGTGACCCCTAATAACTTTCACAATTCATAAAAGTTAGAGCCCATGTCACTCACAATGCCATTAACATGCAGACCTATATTGGATAATTCAAAATTGCACTTATCCAAAATATCATGTTTGTTTGTAATCAGGGAGAATAAAGTCCTCTAGCCATAATAACGAGAACATTTCTACATATGGAATTCCTCTTATTTGTCTCTCCAATATCTTCGAAACCAATAATTTCATCACATCCTATATCAAAAAAAAAGATTGGATTTTAAAGCCATCTCATCTATAGATATCACACATCGATTGTTATGTTCGAGCATTGTTTTAATTTTAATTTCAAGTGCCTTAAATATTGATGAATTTTCCAAGCCCGGTCTACATGATATATTTTGGGTCATCCTTTGCAAACATCGTTTTGTTGGAAGAGTCAATAACTTGCTAAGACGTCTATAATTCCTAGAACTTGAAAAGTAGTTGATCAAAGCAAACTGCTGCACTTCTGAAGAATATCTGTGAGATAAAGGTTTCTTGTTCTTTTGTACAACATGCGATTTTATCACTTCCGATAAAGGATTCTCAAAAAACGCATTACACCCTTTTTAAAACGTATTCACTGATAAACCTGTTCTTATGTTGCACTGTTTGGAACCTTTGGTGTAGTAATGAATATTACTGGAGTTTTTCCCAACACCAAATCGTTATTTTTAACACCTCGACACGTGTTTCGAGCACCAAGTGATCATCTTCAAAGAAGAAGTTTAAAGCTTCCTCTTTGAAGTGATCGAAACACGTGTCAAGGTGTTAAAAATAACGATTTGATGTTGGCAAAAAACTCCAGTAATATTGATGAACCTGTTGTCGCTTCAGATCCCTTTGTGATCTTCTCCCTTTTTAAAATTTTCAATTTACTTCGCACTGTTCGTTTTCGTGGAGTATTGCTGCTTAATTTCAACTCAGTTTGCTCTTGCTTAAATGGCATAATTTTAATGTATACAGAGTTAGGTAGGTACCTTTTGTAACTAACTACCTACCTCATTATGTTTGCTCAGTGCTCACAGACTAATGGAGACAACTAAGCTCGAGGATGACGTGAAGACAACCAAGTCGACGCATGCGTCTACGGAAAAGAGACACAAAATGGCCGTCTTTGTCGCTTCTTTGTGGTAGGTATTCTCGGGTTCTGGTTCAGTATACCTTGAACGGTAGGTTTGTTGTGTTCATTGTTATCCAATTTCCATATAGGAAGACGAATATTACTCTTGTGAATCCAATGCCACCAGAATTGAGAGGAAACAAGATGATGGATGAGAAAGCTATTAACCAAATTATACAGCAAGTATCTAAAACTGTCACCCGAAATATTACAAATATTATCGATGATAGATTCAGATAATTGGAAACACGATTTGCTAATGTTGAAATTCGAGTCCAAAAAAAACAAAACTGATATATCCCAAATTGAGGACCGCCTTGATTCTATGGAATAGCTCTCTAGAAGGAATAATATTCGCATTTCTTGACTTGAACTGCAAAAAAATCAGGAGCCTCGCGAGGCTGTTATTAAGCTGATAGTTAAGAAATTAAATCTGAAGGACATCAGTATTGAAATTAAAGAAAGCTGTCTGTCTTTCGACGAAAAATATACATCTCCTGAAGCAAGAAAAAATATTTTTGCCGTCAAATCAAAACTCAAAGGCTCGGGTGTTGTCATTAAAGAAGATCTCATCTTTTCGACGTAAAGCCATATTTTCAGCCGGCTTAAAGTTTGGGCCTAATAATGTTTAGACAATTGATGAAAAAATTCGGTGGAAGCATAATGGGAAAGTGATCAAACCTACAGTAGTGGAAATACAAGAAATAATAAGCTGTATCAATGACAATCAATGTTGAAATTAATATATTTCTAAAAGTGGATCTAGATCCATTGAAAGTTTATCTTCTTTTCTATTTTTCTATAATTTCTATTATTTATTCTAGTCCAGAATAAAAGGTATTTCGTTACTTATGTAAAATCTCGTATTCAGAATACGTTTCTTATTTCACAAAAAAAAATTATTCTTGGTAAAATTTTGTCTATAAATGCAAAGGTGAATAATTCAATTTAATCAAATAATGCAGTAGATCAGGGTATACAACTTATCAATGTTAATTTTCGTTTCTATTTCATTAATTGTAATATACTTCTGCGGTTTGTAATCTAACTAATTAGAGAGGCACTACAGAAACGCAATTTAATAATGAAGATTGCTCATTTGAACGTTCGATCAATACTGGATCAATACTGGATTCTATGAATTTTCAGACTTGGTGCAAAACATGAATTTTGATATAATTGCTATAACTGAAGGTAGATTGTCTGATGATGTGGCATCGGATGCAATTATGTTACCTGAATATAATTTATTGCGAAAGAATAGAAACCGTTCTGGAGGAGGGGTTGCTCTTTATTTTAAAAGACACATTAAGTGTCAGCTATTGAATATAGTTGTTGAATTATCCAATAAACTCTGTGAACATTTATGGGTTAAATTTAAGATTAACAAATCGAATTTCATTTTGAGCCTTATATATAGATCACCTAAAAATAATTCAATTATAGACTTTGCTAGGGATATGCACAATATTTTAAATGATTTTATTCCAGCTACCGACCATGTTGGGGACTTCAACCATGATTTGAGTCGTATGGCGAATCCTATTACAGATTATTTCAACTTTTTGAACTTTACCCACTTGATAAACGAACCAACGAGAGCCAACATCT